CCCCCCCCCCCCCCCCCCCCCCCCCCCCCCGTCTCCCTGGCCCTGGTGAGCGGTGGTTGGGACAGGGACGAGAGAGGCCCCAACCCCCAGACACCCGAGGGCGCCCCGGCCGGGCAGGGCCGTGGACAGTACAGGCTGGGACCTGCCCCTCTGCGCCCTCCCCACTGCCCCAGGACCTGAGCCCTCCAGGGACGGGGCGGTAACGAGGGTGGCAGAGGCTGGGGCCGCAGCTCGTCTGCCCGCCTCCCAGGGGCTGGGCAGGAGCGGCCGGGGCCGGGGGATGGTCGGCACCGCCTCACCCGCTTGTGCAGCGCGTGGAACTCGCTGTAGCGCCTCAGCACGGTGTGCCTGCGCCCCCGGCACAGCACCTCCACTCGGAACGCCTGGCGGGCGGGCGGGGCATGCATGAGGCCCGCGGGCGGGCGCAGAGGGACCCGCGCCGGCGCCGCGCCCACCCTTCCGCGCTCCGAGGCACAAAGCGGCCTTGGAGCGGCGCGGCTCCCTGGGGACCCTCCCACGCTCCCGGCACACTCGGGAGAAGGGCGGGCGGACCAGCCCCTCGGCTCCGTGCGGTCCCTCAGGAGCCCGGACCGCCGGCCGAGACGCTGGCAAACCCAAGTGGCCCCGAGAGCCTCGGCAGGCTGTCCCCCGACGGCCTGGCCCGCCGCGCTCGGACGCCCCAGCCCGGGACGCGCGGTCCCCACTGCGTTCGGCGTGGGGAAATCCGGCGGGTCCCTGCGCCCCTTGCCCCCCGCTCACCATGTGGCTTTTCTCTGGGCTCTGCCTGGGCCCCTCAGCCTCGGGCCCCACAGACGGGATGTGAACTTCCAGCATCTGCGCCCCGGCCCCCTCCCCTCCGTGCGCTGCGCTCGGAGCCTGAGCTCTCCCTGCGGCGACCGGAGACCCCGGCCGCCCGGCCCCGCCCCCTCGGGCCGCAGGCCCCGCCCCAAGTTGGCCCCGCCTGGGGCGTTCCCTCCGCCGCCGGGTCGTGCGAGGGGCAGATTAGGCAGAGCACCGGGTGGCGGGAGCCGCGCGCCGGCCCTGAGCCCGGTGGGGCCGCGGGGTGGGTGGGGAGCCTTCGGTGGAGAGTCACCCGTTTGTTAACATTTACTGAGCGCCTACTGACTGCCAGGGAGGCGGGCGAGCCAAAATGTCACCTACTCTTTGTTGAGCGCCTACGAAGGACTAGGGCCTGTGGGCGCTAGGATGGATGGAGGGGAGCCCAGGTCTCCGCGCCCACCTTGGGGGCCAACCAGGGGCGTTCCTTGCGTTCCTCACACACTTCCGCCGACCAGGCTGCTCTCCATACTCTTCTCTCCACCTTCAACCTGGACCCTGGGAGCGCGGCTACGCCTCAAAGAGGCTCGGACCCAATCCGGCTTTGACGTCCTCTTCCTCCAGCATCCACAGGCCCCCTCATTCATTCCTTTTTTTCATCCATTCATTCACCTTTCATCCCCAACCTGCTTCAAGCCCAGTTTGCTGGAAAGAGACGGTTTAGGGACTTCGGCTCTGCTTTGAGGGTCAGACGGCTTGGATATCCTGAACTCTGTAGCCCTGTGCTGATCTGCAAAATTGGGATAATATGACTCCCTCAGGAGAGCGTATGGAATTGAGTGAGGTGATCCCTGTTAGGCCCTCAGCAGAGGAGGTGTTGGGAAAATGGCAGCTGTGGGCTTGTCCTGGAGGCATGGGTGGGTTGTTTTCTTGACCAGGCAGTGGATGGGAAGAGGGACTGTGGGGGGTGGCACTAGGCTGATCTGGCCACCCCTCTGTGGAGGGTCTTCTTGGGTATGTGGCAGGATTTAATCCAGAACTCTCACCCGCTGTGCTAGAAAGGACCTCTGCTCCCACCTCTCAGCCTCCCCCCCCCCCCCCCCCCCCCTCAGCGGTAGGGAGCTGTCCCATTCAGCAGAGTCCTCCACTCCACTGGCTTACCCCCAGAAAGGCCTGGGTGGGGGTGGAGGGACGAGAGGCCCTGCCTCCAAGAGCTCACACTTAGGCGGAGGCCTTCATCCTTGAGGAGGCAGTAGGGTACCTGTCTTAAGGTTGGGCTTGGGGGACCTCTGACCCCCGCCCTCCCCTGCTAGTGCCTGGTCCTGCTGAGCTGGAGGAGAATTCTCCTTTCCCAGCTCTGCCCCTAGAGAGAGGCTGAGAGGAAAACCCCAAAAGGGAGCAAGTGGGTCTCACCAATACTATGACCTACACTTTCTTCCCCCAAATTCCATCTCACAGGGGCCTCAGAATCAGAAAGCTGAAACTTCCTGGAAAGGAAACGACCCACCATGAGGAGAAGTGCTGGGGTTTCTTTTCCTCCCTTGCACTTTAGGGCCCCATCATTCAGGGACCCTGCTCTCGTTGTCTTGCTGTCTACAGAGTCCTCTTCTGGGACCCTCAGACCTCTAAACTCCTGGGTCACCCATCCTAATGACTGTCTGCCCCTCTGTCTCTTTTTCTACCACCGAGAAAACTGCTACATCTCCTGATGGATCTCCTTGTTTTCCCTACCCCCCTCCCTCATACAAGGTCCATTCTCTACCTGACAGCACAAACTGTCATCAAGGCATCTGCTTAAAGACTTCCCACTGCGCTTAGAACAAAACCCACTCTCCCTACTACAATCTACAGATTCTGAATGACCCAGCCCAGCCACCATCTCTTATCTCATTTCCTCTCCGCCCCCCTTCGTGCACCAGACTCCAGCCATAGTGACCTTCTTCCAGTTTTCCAAACCTAAGGAGCTCTTTCCTGCCTTAGGGCCTTTGTACTTGCCATTTCCTCTCCCTGGAACACTCCTCTGTGACTCTTCACCTGGTGGGCTTAGCTTAAAACTTCCAATTCTTAGCTTAAAATTCACCTCCTCAAAGAGGACTTCCCTCCTGGCCACCCCATCATATCACCTATCTATGCACTTATTCCAATATGTAGTTGCCATTTGTTTACTGTGTGTCTCCCTGGATTCTCCAACTCTGCCCCAGGCTCTGAGTGCCATCAAGCCAAAGACCTGGTCTATGTTGCAGCTAAGGTTGCAAGCATGTAGAAGACACTCAAAAAACATTTGTTGACTGAAAGACTGGAGGAGGCCGGTATTTAGAAAAGCCTGGGGGTAGGAGGAGGGCCTGGGAGAGAGGCAGGAAGGGAGCGGGGGTGCCAGATCCCCTTGCACCTTCAGATAGACATCCCTCTCTCTCTCTGCAGACTACTGTCCACCTTGTTCATTTGCTTGATTTTCAGGTGCTCCCGAGAAGCTCAAATCAATGGGTTTTCAGCTCTAGTTACAGAGGGAGATTTGATGCAACCAACTCATAAAACATCTGGTAGTAAACCTGCAGCTCCTAATTCCACAGCATTCCATGGTACGCGAGTGAAGATCCAAATGAGGGAAAACCAGATCCTGGACCTGGAGGCATTTAAGATGTCTTTGGGGAGATAAAACAAGTTATGAAGAATATTTTCCTGTAAAGAGGAACACATGACACGGTGAAAACGCCAAAGCAGTTATTGCAGTCAAAGGGAAAGCTCATCTTCTGATGCTTAAAGTATCAGCCAGCTCAGCACGTGAACACCAAGCCAAGTTCCAGACTCTGTATGATGATGGGTGTGCAGGCCTTCGATGTGACTTCTCTTTTTAGAGTAAGTTGATTTACTGAGAAAATCTTTGTCCCTTCTCCATCACTGTCTAACATATGAATTTAATTTCCAAGTTTCTGGGTGAAAGTTGCTTAAAAGTACTGGTTGGTCACATTTTCTTGGCCAGAGTATTTCCAGATCAGATTATAGAGCAGTGGTTCTCCAACTTCAGCAGACACCATCACCTACAACGCCTGTTAAATCTCAGATTATAGGGCCCTGATTCCAGTTTTCTGAATGCGTAGACCTGGCGTGGAGTGTGATAATGGGTGTTTTTCATAAGCTCCCTGGTGATGCTGGTGTTCCTGGTTGGGGACCACATTGTAGACACCTGTCTCGACTGCCACACCGGCCCTGCCAAGGAGCGGGGCCCCTGTGCAGACGTGGAGCCTGGAGATGAGGATCAAGGCCCGAGCAGCAGGCAGGAAGGGCTGGGGGTGGAGGTGTTCCTCCGACACACCTCCACTCTGGCAGGCAGCCTGGCTGCCAGCGGGAGCACAGGTGGGCTGGACCTCGCTCCCGCCCAGGCTCAGGCCTCTGCCCTCCTCCATCATACAAAGCCCCTTTCACTGCAGGCTTTTGCTGGGCCACCAGTGCAGCTCAGGTTTGGTTAACCTCGTTAAGAAAACAAACAGCTCCTGGGCTGCCGGCCTGTGGGCGCTCCTGGGCACAGAGGCTGGATGCTTCTTGCTCAGAAGGCGGCCGGCAGCCACGGGCAGAGGTGGACTGGCCTGGAGGGGACCCAGCAGCCCTGGGCGGCCTGAGCAAGGCTGGGTCTGGACCGCTCCACCTGCTGGCTCTGGTCCCCTGGGTGACCTTGGACAACTCCCTGTGCCTCAGGGTGCTTATCTGTACCAGGGGTGTTGTGTGGATGAAATGACGTCATGCTTCCAAAGTGTTTAGCATGGGGCCTGGCACACAGTCAATACATGTTAGCTATTATTATTCTACTGAACATACAAATTGCTGTTTTTTTGTTTTTTTAAAAAATCCATCTTTTTTTTTTTTAAAGATTTTATTTTTCTGTTTTCTCCCCAAAGCCTCCTGGTACATAGTTGCATATTTTAGTTGTAGGTCCTTCTAGCTGTGGCATGTGGGACACTGCCTCAGCATGGCCTGATGAGCGGTGCCATGTTCATGCCCAGGATCCAAACAGGCGAAACCCTGGGCTGCCGAACCAGAGTGTGCGAACTTAACCACTCGGCCATGGGGCCGGCCCTGGAATTGCTGTTTTTGTAGGCCAAAACTGTGGGATATTGGCAATTACATAAGGGTCATCCTATATATTGTTAATGATTCCTCTTTGAAACAACAAAAACAAACTCTACGTTTCCTCTTCCAATATCCTGAGATTGCAAGGTTAGCTTAAAAAAAAACAAAACTATTAACTATCTCAACTACTAACTCTGTGATCAGGATTTTTCTGATTTTCTTGATATTGTGCAACCAAAACAAGGTGAAAGAACTGGAAGCAGAGGTTGGTGTAAATCAGCAACTATCCTATTCATCCTAACAGCCTCAGAGTACTTATCGCCTAGTAAGTCCATCTTATAAACTTGTAATATAATAATAAAAACCAGTATTTTATGTTCTGAATATTGGACTTTGGCATAGATGTCTAAAAAAAATAGTTCTGCTGCTAAAACATCTTAACTTATTGAGCTAGTTGAAACTCTTCGATTTACAGATGAGGAAATGAGGTGTGCGAAAGGAGAAGTGGCCCTGGAAAGGGCTGTTAGGAACGCCCCACAGACAAGCATGTCCTGCTGGAGCCCTCAGAACAAAGTTTGGTGACTTGCCTCTCAGGGGACAGGGAGGCTCCAGCGCAGGGTTCCAGCCAGCAGTGTCACTCCTAGGAGCCCCCTGCCCAGACAACACAGGCAGGTCAGCTGCTTCAGCCAACATGACCCAGGGCTGGAGCAGGGCGAGCTGGCAGCGGCCACCCCAGCCACCTTGCATCCAAGGCAGCACAGCTTCCCAAGGAGATTTTTCTGGTGCTACAATTCCCAACACCCCTTAGAGGGCTCTGTCAGAGGACCAACCAATTGGCCCCTCTGATGTGCCCAGCACTGGGGTTCAAGGAACAAAGACACACTCAGGCACCCTCAAGTCACAGAGGTTTACCATGTAGAAAGCTGTTGGACCAGGAACTAAGGACAACAGGAGAGTCAGGCCAAAGACCAGGAGGGACCCTGGTCCCATGCCTCGAGGTCTGGAATGTAGGTGCCCCACCCCCCACCCTGGGTGCTGTGGTTTCTCAGCAAGTGGAATTTTTGTCTCTCTGTTAATGGTCCCCA